TTTAAATTTCATGTACCTACCCTCTTTAATTGTGTATTTTTGATATTGTGCAGCTCATTCTTGATGATGTTAAACTTAAAAAGGGTGTCGGAACTGAATATTGAACCAAAATCTAACCCAGGATAATCAGCACATCTCCAATTTTTACGTTTCTCCCTTTCAGCTACCACTTCGGTCATTTCAGACGTACAGCGGAGCTTGGATAATTCCTCAATTTCAGGGTCTAAAATACTGCCCTGTTCATTTTCTATGTCACTTTGACTGGAACCTTCTGCTTCTGGCCTTTCAATTTGACACATATCTTTTTGCGTTTCATTTTTGCTAGGCCTAGACTTTCTTTGCTTACGTATTTTGGCGTTACGGTCTTCTTTGATACTCTTACTCGGACTCTGTTCCTTTTCTTTATCTTTAATAATTTCATCATCACAATTTGTTAAATCTATCACTTCTATATCACATTTGTTGGGAGTTACAGTAAGTTGACTTTCTTTTAGTTGTGATCGAATTAAATTACTTGCAGTTGTATTTGGGAAGGCACTATTTATTATCACAGTATTTTCCTCTTCATTCTGATTTGTTTTTATACCATTATTTATTGTCGAATTCTGCGCTGTCACTACGTTATTTACACTGTAATCGCTTAATGGTTTGTCAGTCGTTATATCTTGGGCCAACCTCCTTCTAGTACCTTCGTTCCTAGGGTGGTGTTGGTGCCCCCTTTTTTTCGCGCTGCCAGCCGCCCCAGTTGTTGACATTTTTTTCGGGGAAGTCACTTATCGCGTGCAACTCATTTTCGCCATATTGAATACACTAGCGCTACTGTAGCATGGAATTTCTCTGAACTACACGCCTCGTGGCAGCGAATCGCGATGGCAGCACCGATTCGTTACGGGGCTCGACGATGCATTTTTAAAAATAATCAATTTTCTTTACTTTGTTTATCATTCGGTGGGTTAATTGATGTCGATTTTGGATATTTAAAACTAGGTACAAGTGTTGTGTGAAAAATGCTTGTTGGCAATGTGTTAAATAATTACGTTGATTTGGCATTAATTCAACTAGTTTTAAACCTACTGTGTATGCAACCCACAATACGGATTTCAATATAAGATTCTGATACAAGATCATATGTGAAAAAACTTGAATTTTTTAAAGATATCTGTTAATTTTGTAATTGGAAATTAATGACCTACATTTCTATGGTTGGGAGAATTCATAACAGATGTCTATCCAGTAGCGAACGTCACGGGATAGGAGGGATTATTCACGGAACCATATTTGGCATGAGATCGAGTTCTTGATTTATTTTTAGATAGCTAAAAATGCGTGCATTAGGTTTTACTGTAGTAGTAAACTTAAGAAAGCAGCACGTCATTTTATTTAATTTTCCTAGTATAAAGAAGACGGAATATGTAGTTACCCATTACATGTTCCTTTTTTGTCTAATAAAGCACTTGAAAGCAGACAATCCCAGTCGTGTGGAGCCCAATTTGAATTATATTGGGTAACAACATGGACAAAAAACATACATTATTTTCTGTCTAGATTACACATGATTAATGGGCTCGTTACAGGAAGAATGTGCAAAAGTTTTTTTTTTTTTTTTTTTAATTTTAAATACGTGTCTCAAAAGTAACGCAAAACCAATTCTTTTAAATTTCGTTTTTTACGTATTTTTAAAGCTATTTAATTCATGATTAGGTGAATGATCTGATCTGTAAGTTGTTCAAGACAAAATCTATAAATGGAGCAGCTATAGAGTAAGATTTTGTCTCTATCGAACTCTTAGATGTGTGGACTTTTTAAATTTTAGTCTATATAATAATGGCAATGGCCATAGAAAAAAGTTATTCGAATGAAAATCTTAGGAAAATACTTAAAAATAGTCTCTTATGCTATCAAGGTATTTTTTGCGGCATAAACCAACATGAACGTTAATGATAGATTCTGTTGGGATTTAGACATGTATAAATAACATAATCTATACATATACGTTCATGTTGGTTTATGCCGCGAAAAATACCTTATGGTACCTATCTAAGACTTGTTTGGGTTCTTAAAAAATACATTGAGAACTCTCAGACGACTTGGTTGACCAGTGAACTGTTTAAAAGTTGAACGCGACGAATAATTTGCTATTTAACTGTTCCACTGGATCATGGACAGTTTGTATCAAATTTTAAAGAAACCCAAACAAATCCCTATACTATTAAAACTAAAACAGATAGGTAGGTACTTGATCTTTAGGTTCATCTAATTTTTAAATGCCTTGTAACCTACCGCACCCAAGTACCTTCATAATTCATTAATTTCATTTATTAAAGAAAATTTTGCATTCTTATTAAATTCAAAATCCTTCTTTTAACGAAAAATCTCCCAGATAATTAAATCTTATTTACGTCACCTAATAAATAATATTTATAACCCTGTCCGTAAGAAATCCAATTTCTTGCAAGTGTCTGGGAACCCAACCCGAAATTTTGTCACGAAGTAATAATCATTGAAACAGTTAACGCACTTATCTTAACTTAGTTTTGAATAGTAACGTTGTTTTTGACACACAAATTTTTCAAGGCAAGTAATAAATTGACTACCTCTTTTCATTCCTCCCAAATTCGTTCCCACCAGAGAAACGACCAGTTGACGTCACAAAAAGTCATTAAATCAGGTATAAAGTCCCGATCCCGAGGGACTCGTTATTCATTAAGAAATCAAAATCAATTCAGTTGATTTCAAACTCCAGTCATTCATTACTCTTCAAATCTAGTATATTTCAAGTTCAGTATCCAGCACCTTTCCTAACCCGACGCAGTTCCTACCCTATCTCATATCGACACTCCTACGTCGCGACGTTCTACGTCCCGACGACCTGACGTCCGCCCTGACGTCCGCCCTGACGTCCGCCCTGACGTCATCTTTCCTATCCGATGCTCTACGTCCCGATACCCTATATCCTATTCGACGCTCTACGTCCTTACTTCCCTACCTTTCTACGTCACAACGCTCTCACTTATATGACGCTCTGCTTTTCGACGCCCTCTTTCTAGGCCTCGTCGATCTATATTCCGAAGCTCAACATCCCGGTGCTCTACGTCTCGATGCCCCTTCAATATTTCCAAATCAGCAACACTTCCACGTATCAACAATAATATAAAAACGTCAGAAATAGATGGTGAGTCAATAATTTAAAAGAGGTTTATTATTGTATTATTTATTATTATAGAAATGTATTGTTCATTAATGTCACATTTGGGCCGCTAGATAGACACGTCCCAGCATGCATATGCCGTTTTATTATACCAGCCTAAAACCATTTAAGAATTTGGTCTACCGAAGTGCCAATGCACCCTCGCTAAAACCTACTAAATATCAACTGATTGGGGTAAATGACACTTCGGACGGCTAGACTCACATCTTACACAAATATGTTTGATGTCACTGCAGGGATGGATTATCTTAATAATTATCTCTCAATCTTCGCACCGTAGGTAGATCTGAACATGAGGGGTAATTCGCTGGTATTGATCCGGCTCTATTATCTAGTAGAACTATCCGTCTGTTATTGCAACGACTGTATCTCAGTAAGCACACCTATATAAACAAGAAACCACGAAACAAAGAATTATTAAAGATAGTGCAATTCTGAGGACGTCTGGTGTATATCCTCAAGAATTCTTCAACAGTATATTTAATGGCAAGTGGCCATGTGAGGTCTCGGTGAGAAATATAATTTATCATTCCCCAATTTAAGTAATGGTATCGTTATTTTATTTAAGGATAAAATAAATAAGTTAAAAAATATAATTTGAATTTTATTTCATTCATAAATTTGTACCAAGCTTTGCATCGAATCCTGGATTATCTTGATTAAAATTATCACAACGTGGGTATATAAATTATCAATTAATTAACTAAACGATCATTACTACTAGAGGAAAAAGGCCAAGTACAGTAAGTATGAATTACTTTGAATTTCACAAAGAGGAGGGAGGTAATTAAAAAATACGGGCTTTTAATAATTAAAGATGCGACCGGGGGGTAGACGGTTACAGCCTTTTTCACCATTTGAAAATGTGCAGACGGAAAATGTGTAAACGGTTTATATAAATATTAAATAATGTCAAGGTTAACAGCATTTTTTATTTGCAATGTAGGTATGCATACTATGTAAAAAAAGGAGCTACACTTTTATTTAATTTTTTTCTTTTAATGTATATTGCTTAGGTAATAATTATGTAGGAAGGTATGTCTAACAGTCTCAAGCTCTCCAATTTTTAATAAAGAATCTTGTTAATTTTGAAATGCCTGTTTTTTCTAGAATCAGATATAATATATAGGTAAGACGCTTTCTAAAGTCAAAAATTGACACTTCTTGCAGAAAACTAGCTTTCTTGCGCAATAATAGTTATTTTTCTAAAAAAAAATGTGTTAGGAACAATATTTTTTCTACGAATGTGAGGAAAATAAAAGCTAGATATAAATCAAAATTTTCTTAAAACGAAAAACATTTCAAAAATGTCTAAACAAAAATAGTAAGTAGGTATATTACATAATGAGCAGGAAATGTTACTTATTTCCTACGAGTATGATATTTATAGCATGAGCTGCAGCCACTAGTGCGTAAGTGGAAAGGTAGCATTTTCCGCACGCTTGTAGAAAAAACGATTTAGTTGACTACTAAAAATTAAATTCAAATGTGACACCTTGTCTAATAGTTTCCCTCAAATAGGAATTCCAACGACCTTTTTTTTTAATTGTCAGAAAAATTTTGATAATATTAATACATTTTTAGAAACAAAACAAAACAAATGTTATAGATATATTTTTAAGCTTTCACCTTTCGAAAACGTTTATGCAAATGTCTAGTATTAAGCTGTAAAACACTGTACTATTTTAATAGCTGGTTACCAGTAAATAAATAAAAAAAATTAAAAATAAACTTAATACAACTTTGGATAACTTTCTATGATTGAAATTTGAAAGAGTTTAATTGGACTTACGTTTTGGAGGGCTTTTTCTTTTTCTTCAAGTTTTCCATTGACTTGTGTGAGTTGTTCCTGTGTTTGATCGAGATCATTTTCAATGGCTTGGATCTTCTTTTGGAGGGAACGGGCTTCTTCTTCAGCCTACAAAAACAAAAAAAAAATGGTTAATGGAGAATGAGAAGCGAAAGAAGAAAAGCAATGTACGAGTAATTTATTGTTTTAATGTTGTTTTTTACCTTTTCTGCGCGGAGGTTGGCATCTTTGGCGAGTTGTTCATTGTGCGCAGCGCGATCTAAAGCGTTGTCTTTTTCAAGCTTCATCGCTTGCATTTTCTTCTTGATCGCGTCCATGGTGAATGGTTTTTGTTGCGCGCTGACGGATCAAACTGTAACAAAGAAAATACCAAACTAAATCAAAAACGTCTGTATTTAGGTAATAAAATATTGTACTCTATTCAACAAAATAAAAAATAATTAGATTTAATTTATATAAGGGGTCCCTACTATTTAATAGGGACAATATTGATATTTCTTAAACGTTAACAGATAGAAAGTTGATTAAATTATAGACAAAAGTTGCGCAGTTTTGTGCTCATTAAAATGGTATCAAGAAACCTTTGATATCTACAGAGAGATTCAAAATATTGGACAAAATAATGAAAATTGTCATTTCTTTAAAATCATTCAATTTTTGTCCGATACTTTGAATCTCCCTTTAGCTATCAATGGTTTCTAGGCATCTTTTTAATGATTACAAACTGCGCAACTTTTGTTTAATTTGACCAACTTTCTATCTGTTATTCTTTAAGAAATAGCAATACTGTTCCTATGAAATAGTATAATATAGTATATAGTATATAGTATAATATTTTTAATTATTATAGATATGTATATTTCAAAAGTCAAATATATTAGGTTTTATGGTTTTTATCTTTTCTATTTTTTCATTTATTAGGTACTATTTAAAATAAATATAGTCCAGAAACTCTCTGCAAATAAAAAAAACGGTAAAATCCAGAGCTCATTTTATCTCTATTTAATCTAAATTACCTTAATCCAAAAATGCTTCCTAAGGGAGCTAGAACTGTCAAATGATATATCGTACATCCGGTGCAACAACGTCGTAAGTGCAAAAATCTATTTTTTACAAGGGACCCATTTAAAAGTTTTGCTCGTCATAAACTGAAATGTATTAAAAGTCAAATGATTGAATAATTGTTCATTTATGGTTTATGTTTTATTTACCACATTGCTGTACCACATGTAGAAGCAGATTAGGCGTATTTTGTGACTAAAAATTTTCTTTCTAATACTTTTGCACTTATGACGTTGTTGCATCGGATGTGCGAATATCATTATGTATATTTGTTTCTTGAAATCTAAAGAAACAAATTTGGTATACCTATACGATTTTTATGTAGTAATAAGCAGTTCGTTTGGGTATGGTATTTTATTCAACTTTTTTTCACCCAAATTATGCTCAAATCTGAAGTTTACATTAAGAAAGGTTTATAAAAAAATTGATTTAGACTTTTCATGTGTCTTACATACGTTTCCATTGACTAAAAATACATTTCTAAATTTTGATAGTATAGCTATGGAAAAAACAAAATGATGGTATTTTAAAGAGGCAATATGTCAAATGACTTTTGGGTTATTTATTGTTTAGATTTACATTAATTTAGAGTGGCATCTTCAAAGAGTTCTAGCTCCCTTAAAAAGTTTTTCTGAGATTGGCACTTTTAGAACCAAGCCCCATAAATTTATTCTAATGCCATTTAAGAAAGACGCCCGCTCTGCATGCTTCATTTAGTTCACTGGGATCTAGTTACTCTTTTGATAGCCTCCAGAAATCAAGACTAATTTCTAAATACCTACAGCACATCTTATTAATGTGCTTTATTCACCTTGACCAAGTTTTATAAGGAAACAATAAATTTTCGAATTTTACCAACAAATATAATTTACATTCTTAATTATCGACCAGTACAGCTCGTTGTTATCGACATCAAGTCAAGCTACAACATTCTTTAGTATGTAATTTTCAAGATAATTGTCCGTTTTAGAGTCAATAACCGAAATCTAGAAAGTACCCAATAATTTAAATTTAAAAGTTGGTAATCTTCGGAATAAAGTACACACATTATTTATTATCATTTTAGGTAAACTGATGCGGGTGTAGAAATCTAATAAGGTGAAATTTAATAATACGCACATTTCGACATTTCAAATTTCAGAATAAATCAAATAAATAAATAAATACACAAATTGCAATAATTTATAATTATTAGTAATTATATTGAGAGCAGAAAAATCGAGAGTTACTGCGGAAACTCAAGTGATTGCCATAAAGACAGAATGGTTTCCGGGGAAACACTCGAGGTTGCTATAGAGACATTTCTATGATATATACTGATGATAATAATAAAGAGCCTACTAGGTTGGATAAATTTACACATTACATTAGGAAAAAAAAGGTGTGTGGACATTTTTGTTTAAACCATAATTTAAAAATAAATATGTTTGTCTACGACAGTTTTAAAATATATCCATTTTTACTTTCCTATCTGTATACAGATATAAGGAAAGTATAGGAATCATGATTTTTTTCGACCTCGAGTTTTTGACGGATTTTTACGTTTTGAGGTCCCCTGAATCCGTTTTGACTATTTTCGCGATGATGTCTGTGTGTGTGTGTGTGTGTGTGTGTGTGTGTGTGTGTGTGTGTGTGTGTGTGTGTGTGTGTGTGTGTCTGTGTGTCTGTGTGTGTGTGTGTGTGTCTGTATAACGCATAACTCATGAACCGATACACAGAAAAACACCAAATTTTAAACTTAAGCTTTGTTTCAGCGTCCAATGAGCTGATTAGATTTTGGGCAGAGTCGG